CTTTGTTAGATGGGTCACCAGGGATTTTCCGCCTTCCTTGAAGAGTCATCTCGCCGCCGTACCCACTGTCTGTTACTAGGGATTTCCTGACATCAATAAGGACTACCGATCTTGACATCCAGTGGTCTTGAGGTAGAATCGGAGAAATCCGACAGACAGCAATGAACGACGCTAGCATAGCTACTTACACATTTTGTCATGATCCATTCATGCGCTCACTAATGGTTGGTCCGTATTAGTTTACTGTAGAATTGTTGAACTAGTTCAGACCGATACTGCTGAGCTACGGTAGTTCTTCAAAGATGGTGTATTGGCATGCCCCTTTCCAACTTGCGAGGGCTCGAAGGGAAACGAACTGTTGGACGTGCACACACCATGGAGGGGTCGGAATCAAGCTGCGCACCCCAAAAGGAACAGCGGTCGATTGTGGATCTCCACCAGCCGCCGGTGGCCACGCGATCAAACTGAATCCACCACTGGTTTGCAGTTGGCAGCTGCCAGGCTGCGCGATTCGAGCGTTTATGCTGAAAGTCCGTGCTACCCCGAAACAGCTGATGGTCATCACATAACTGGGGGGTGTCGCTCTTCATTACCTGTGCGACGAGCATTTACTCCGAATCGAACGCCCAGATGTAATTCCAGAGCTCAGACTATCGACTTGGACATTCATATCACCCACAAGGTCAGCACATAGATGAACCAATCGTTTACCACTGTCCGTCCGTATCGAGTCCAATACATATCGACCAACTAATTGTATTTCAGATGCGCTAAGCCTGCCCACTTATACATCCAAATCTCCGACAACCATAACGATATCTGAGCGTCTAGTTAGCCACAACATGGCAATCTAGGCGTCATAAAACTTGTCTGTAATGGTGTCAGAGTTTCAGTAGATTAGGGCGTAAGGAGATACGACAAAGAGACATCAATAAACTTTCCGCTTGTGAAGACGATACCAACCCCTGTGTATTCTGCCGCAGTAGCCTCTGGATTGCCAGAGGTGCACAGCCGGAAGCGAGTGGAGAGTGATAGGGCGGTTAGCTCGAACACAGCGTTTGAATCTTGAATTCTTATTTCTGGTACAAAGCGCAAATCAATATCATGCGTGCCAGTATGAGAAAGAGCAGCCGGACAGAATGAGCATCAAGGCTTGAAGATTGGTTATAAGCTGCCTGATTATGAAGGTGTCTGATGAATGGAATCTTCAGTCCCGACACGCTTAAAGAGAGAGTTTGTGATGTGGTGGGGAAGAACAAGTATGTGAAAGAGAAATAAGGTGTTACCGGCAACCTGTTTTCGCCTACCCGCCCTGATGTATACAACAAGGCGACCCGGTTGATGGCACCATACGGTGCCCATGAGGTATGAGAGTATCGTTAGTTGTAAGTGTCATGGTTGTACTTTGACTGAGATACGGCCAGGACGCCCAGGAGGACGATGTAAGTCATTAACCAAAGCCTTTGATTCAAAAGCCTGACCGCAAGGCAGCAGGGTAGCGGCAACTACAGTTGCATTTCAGTTTTCGCCAACCTTCGACCTAGAGACTACGTCGGTGAAACTTATATTGACCAACCTGGTATGAAGCACTGGAAGCGTCTCGAGGACACCCCTCAGAATAGCTCAGGCAGTCGCAGAGGCACACAAACCGTCACACCACGGTAAGATCTGGTCGATCCGTGACGGTAGTGTGGATTCTTGTGGAAACTAACGAACGAGTGACATAAGGACAGCTGTTTACGAGCGACCAAGCATGGAGGGAAGTGTCAGCTGCAGAGTCACGCGAAATTCGTAGTCGGCGGTGCCGGACAATGGTGCTGGAAGATCGATGATCGTATATGGATTTTTAATCGGGATTGGGAAGTGCGTAAATATGCACAGAACAAGCACCAAGAATACACACTAGATGTCCTTAGGTGTTCACACACCAAAATCCGTGAAGGAGTAAAGAGGAAAAGGGATAAAAGAAACAAATCGGCGGGTATGATGCGAGACTGACACACCTACGCGTCGGATCAACATAACAGCTATTAGTAAATAGAGAGGGAGAGGTAACCAGACGGAATAATGGAGATTAGGAGCAATCTGTTTTCTACCAACTGCCCTGTTGCACGCAGCCAGTAAGGCAACTGACTGATGGCACTACACAACGGCTGACATGAAATGGTCTGTACTTGAAAGAGTCATGAGTGTGTGAGTACTAAGCTACCACCAGGACACCCGGATCTACTCGAGACGATTGAAGTCATCAACTAACTCCTCTGAATAAAGTCTGACTGTGAGGCAGCAATTTGTACTGCGCTTGTCTTCGAAAATTGCTCAAGACACTGGGATTAAAACCCTATTACTTACAGTACACCCCGTTCCCAAAAACAATGATGGATAGGAGGAAGCTCAGCCGATGTATCGAAAATTGTGTGAGGCAGATTTAATTGTTTTGACGGCGAACACGCAGACAGGACAACGAAATGAACGTAGCTAATCAAAGACTGTTGTGAATCTTGTAAGAAAACAGAGGTTGTGTTATTTAACCCAACACCTAAGATGAAGGCCACCAGACATTCGTCAAATCCAGCGATGCAATAAGAAGCGTTGAACAACACCCCATCATAAAAATCTAGTAAATTATGGACAGACTCAGTTAGGGACAATTATCATCTCCAGAGCAAAGCGTGTCGATAGACAGGCAACTATCATGGAAATCCATAACACCTTGGGTAGTAGAAATCGAATAGACCAAACATACCATCTGACTTGGGATCCCTTTTTCCTGGGCATGTCCATTCCAGTTTGGGTGGCTCGTTTCTAGCTACTGCCTCGTAAAAGGGCACCATTTCAAGTAACGGAACCCCGTTAGGGTATTTTCCCATAAAGCTCAGATCATCATCTATCCATTGAGTCACCGTATCCATTTGACAAGGGCTAGAAAAAACCAATGCATATGCCGTTCATGTTTGAAAACACGGTGAATTGATAATTGCAGAGAAATAAAGCATACAGATAAGTCTTTATTAGGATTCGGAACTAATAAAACGTCATCCAAGAACTCCATCAGCAGGNCAGGAACAAGATCACCACTGATCAACAACACAATATCAACGATCCACCAAATACCGAGTCCACCAAATGTAAATAATTTACCCAATCCAGATCCAATATGACCAAGACAAAGACGGTCCACACCGAAGAATCCAAGCAGTAGACTATAGATAAATGTCGTGACAAAGTAATGTCCCGAAAAGTGGAGACAAGGATAGTCTGACAACAAAAAGGTGCGGTTTCCATAGCACTCGATACCATCCAAGGCACGGCAGAGGACGGCAGTGAGCTCAACTTGTTGCGCTGTTCTGCCGCCCCAACGAGAGCAGCCATAAGACACGTTTCCAAAGGTCTTGTTTTCGCGAACATCTGTGCAGAATAAGAGGAGCTTCATGGGGTATTTGAAAACGTACCGACAGGGGGTTCGCACCAAAATGAGTGAGATGGAAGATAATCACAGCGGACTAAAGGACTATGAGGAGTGTATGGAAACCCGGTGGATTCGTTAAACTCATCTGTTGAGTTTCCAATGTATCTTACATTGGGAACAACTGGTATAGAGTGAAAATGTCCGCTGCAGCAAAACATGCAGTAAGTAGCCAGGAATGCAATGTATGCACTTTGTGTGCCGTTAGATGACAGCATCAACAACTTTCCAATGGATCAAAAGCGGTGATCATCAGTACAACTTGGATGACACTTGGGGGAAAAGAACAAGAGTATGGCATTAATGTCGACGCGAAAACTAAGTGAAAAAGTGGGCATCAAGGTCAACGACACACCGAGTTACACAAGGGATGGCTGCTGGACTGGGTTTGCGTGAAACCAGGTAAAACATTATCGGGAGATTTTTACATAGTTAAGGCATGGCACTCCGCAATCAGAATCACCAACTGAGGGGGTACGTAATTGAGAAGATACCACACCGTGAACCTATCGTCTATTGTATCATCCTGGGATCGCCCCGACCATAATTCACCGTGCCTTGTAGCTGAGGTACGCAGTTTGCTAGTCGAGTAAAGTGTTCCTTAGTGTTCTGAATCTAGTCTCTCTTTTGCGCTTAAATGGGGTCGTACCCACACCACACTCAACCAAAAGGATGACAAAACTGACTACATCACTAGTTCACCAATGTCTCAACGCCTATGGCAATACAGCTGGCAGACTCAACTGCGCCAATACCAGCAGCCGATAACTGCATTTAGCAAATCGGCCTGATAAACCAACCAGAGGGTTGTACAAAAAACAACCTCTGAATCCAAAGTGCGTCAGTTATTCAACAAAACCTCAGGTTATGAGTCGGTAATAGCACAGCATCGAAAACTACACTTATCGCTGGAAGTTTTCGTCATCGGCTTCCTCCAGTGGTGAATCTGGAGTGCACTTTTTCACTGAAGTGGTTACAAGCAGTCACTTTATCGGTCAACACCAGACAGTGCTCCATTGTCCGGAGTTACCTGATAAGAGCCGTCTCTACGAACATTGCACCACCACCGTGTTAAATACCAGGAATGTGAGTAAAAAGTCTATTTGTGACCATGGCTGCAAATCCCTACAGCTACTATTTTAATAAGCGATGTATGTGACCACGATGTCCTCCTGAAGGCAAAGCATAAACCTCGGGCAAGCCAACAATACAGACCTCAACCTCGATAGAGTCCCAGAGATGAATAGGCCGACGAGTAAGTTTCTCTTTGGCAGTTGTAGCGTTGGATGTCAGGAAGTCAGCAGTATTCGGCGTTCGCGAGGGAGTAGTACAGTGTGCATGCTATGGGAGCACAAAGGGACAGTGATTCTCCGAATGGAGGTGTTTACTACAATTCCTGTGGATGGAAAACAGAAACAAAGCTCGTGAGCCGAGGCCCAGTGAGCAAGGTTGTATATCAACAATATTTGCATAGAAATCAATCAAACTGACAGACCTTACACTACAGCGGGGGAGTCGATTCATACACAGACCAAACCGAAGCAAATGATTGGCTGGTCCGAGTCACGTGATCAACACTACAGCGTGCGACTACACCATACGAGGTCCAGCTGTTTAGCAGAGGTTTGCACCAAGAGCCTAACATAGCTCAGTGGCCAGGTAAGGTAAGCTTCTGCGAGGGGTCCTGCTGGTCCACGGTTAAAATCCGGGCGACATCATCCGGCTTCTTTTAGACTCCCCGTTAGCATGTTTCTTCATACGAAAACAAAAGTTTCTTGCCATGCTTTTATTGGAAGAAGTGATGTGGGCAGTCAGAGACGCGTGAAGGAAGGAAGTGTAGCGCCTGTAATCCGTTGTCACATTTATTTACCATTTTTCCTCAACTTAAACTACATTGTGTAATTGTTGTACATATTTCATTATGACGTTTGTTATATTGCACCAAGTAATACGATACACAAATTTTCGGCGCGACTTTCTGACTCCTTGCTGAATCAGTGGATTTGCGGTCCGTTGAACTGTTTGCTGACTGCCGAACCAGTGGGACTATATCTGTGTTTATGTGAACTGTTGAACGTCACAGTACCTCCCTGTGACACGTTTTAGCCGTGAATAACTTTCTTATCATGGAATATATTACTCACACGTGAATCATCTGTGGAAAATTTCTGCAAGTGGATATTTCCTTCACAGAAGGTTACTGCATTGGAATTGGTGTGGCGGACTATTGGATCTACGCATTCGTGAGTTCTAATCGATTGCCTATTCTTTTCTTATTGTGCTTTTGCCACTTTGCTCGCTTATTTGATCCGACACGCTAATTAGGTCCTAAATCCGCTACATATTTGGTAAGCCCAGATCTTCTCTTAAATTTTTCTCTGCAGTGCTCCCGTGTTTTAGTATATTTATTTTCCATGTCCTCATCACGTCATCATGGCTTCTGAGCAAACGTAAAACGAGATAGACAACGTTGTTAATGTTAAGTTGCCTTAATGAGGCGCTCGTGATCCTAGGCTATGGTTTGCTCAACTTGAGGCTATTTTGGAATCGCGTAGCATTACTTCCCAAAGCAGTAGATACAACCATGTGGTTTACCAGATTTTGTTGCCCTAGAAATTGCTGTTTAATATCTTCTCGACCGTCCACCGATCCGTATGATGTTCTCAAAGTAGCTACCATTTCTCGCATCGTATCCAGAAATGAACATAATCTGCGGATATTTCTCTCCGGTGTTGTCGTCGGCGGTAAAACACCGTCAGGACATCGTCGCCACATGATACATCTGCAAGGTGAACATCCAGGAAACGATGTGGTTTTGAAAGAGCTTTGGCAACAAAGCACCCTTCCTGAAGTTCGTGAAGTCCGTTCTGTCATCCAAAAGGATTCTTCCCCAGCGAAGCTAGCCAAGGTGGCCGACAATGTCCGTTCGTTTTCTCAAACGTTCAGCGACCATCCACTTCGCAGTCTAGCCTGGAGATCGAGTTCAATGCAATGAAAGCTCAGTTTACCGAGTAGTTTCTCCAAATGAATAAAGTTACTGAACTTAGTCGCTCGAAACAATATAGACGATCTCGGCCTTGATATCACAGTCGCACTCCCAAGCAAAGTGGCCAGCCTGGCTGGTGCTACCACCATGGTCGTTTTGGAGATCATGCCGTCCGACGCACTAGACATTTAAATTTTGTCAACAGGCCTACGAATTCGGGAAACGCCACGGCCGGTCAGTAATGGCGACCACTGCAACCGGCTCTTCTACCTGTCGCCTGTTCTTCGCATATGACCGCTCCACGTCCTTGAATTTTCTTATCGATACCGGTGCTGAGTTTAGTGTAATTCCTCCTACACGCAAGCATAACTTACAGCCGGTGGCATATACTCTGCAGGCAGCCAACGGTACGAGCATTAAGACCTATGGTGAAAAGCTTCTTACTCTCGACCTAGGTCTTCGCCGTCAGTTCCCGTGGGTTTTCACAGTGGCCGACGTTAAAAAACCCATTATTGGTCTGGACTTCCTCACGTCATTTGGTCTCACGGTTGATCTCCACAGACGGCAGCTGCTGGACAGTTCGACGACTCTCTCTATAAATGGCAAAGCTTCATCCATTAATTCTATTGGAATCCGCCCAGCTTTGCCGGATAACCGTTACACAGCACTGCTTCGTCAATTTCCAGAGATCCTGAAACCTGCTTCCAAGACCACTTCCGTAAAACATTATGTCTTCCACCATATCTCGACAAAAGGCCCACTCACCGCATCCCGCCCACTGCGGTTAGCTCCGGAAAAGCTTGCCATAGCCAAGACCGAATTCCGACATTTGCTTCAACTGGGTATCATACGGCCGTCATGCAGCCCTTGGTCATCTCCACTACATATGCTCCCCAAAAAGTCCGAGGGAGATTGGAGACCATGTGGCGATTATCGCGCACTAAATCGTGTCACTATCCCGGACAAATACCCAATTCCGTATCTGCATGATTTTGCCCTTACTCTTCACGGCAAATCTGTCTTCAGTAAATTAGACCTTGTCAGAGCATACCATCAGATACCTGTCGCTCCAGACGATATTCCCAAAACTGCTATCACCACTCCATTCGGTCTATATGAATACGTTCGTATGCCATTTGGGCTCAGAAATGCAGCTCAAACATTTCCACGATTCATGGATCAAGTCCTACGGGGACTAGACTTCGTCTACGCTTATATTGACGATGTACTTATCGCCAGTCGGTCCTAATCCGCTATATACTACAGCCGGTTGGTTAAGGATTTCAACACGATGCCCGATCTACTCTATGACTCGCTGTGGCACAATCGGAAATTCGAATGCACCGAAGAAGCACATCAGGCTTTTAAGCGTGTCAAAGCGCAGATATTGAATCAGCAACTGACTCTCAAACTGCCCGGGGTCGGAGAGATGTTCACTGTCGCAACGGACGCTAGTGATCGTGGTATCGACGCAGTCCTAAAGCAGAGGAATGAAGCTGTCGAATATGCCAGTCGGTTCCTGACTAACGCTGAACAGAACCATTCGACCAGTGAAAAAAAATGTTTAGCGATCGTCTGGATGTTGGACAACGATTTCATGTCGAAACCGATCACAAACCCTGGAGTGGATCAGGACCACCAGAGATCCTCGCGGAAAGCTCGCATTCTGGGCACTCCGGTTGCAAGAGTACCACTTCATGATCCAGCACATGCCAGGGAAGGAGAACCACTTGGTTGATTGGCTATCAAGACCAGTGGCTGAAGGTGAGGTCCTCAGGATCATGATTGGGGCCAATAGCCTCGCCGTCCAACTGGATCCCGGAAAGTCAACGCAACTCCAACGGCTGGATCCTGTGTTACGGAAGGTTGCAGCTGCCTTGTTGGATGGAAGGAGTATTGAGAACGGAGAGGGAAACAAGGAATTGAAAACGTTCCAGAGTCACATCGATCGGCTGAGGCTGAATGAAGCTGGCATAATTTCCCGGAACGCCACTGAATCTGATGCTATGCTGACCGTGATACCTCGCACCTTGAGACGGAAGCTTATCGTCGAATGCCACGAGATGACACAGACACACAAGGTGCACCAATACGTATAAATTACTTCGGCAGAGGGCCTACTGGCCCGGGATGAGAAGTGAGGTGATCGATTATGCGGTGTCCTGTAAGCGGTACCAACTGATGAAAGGGGATACGACAGGGGCAACCCATCCCATGGAACCCATGACTGTCTCAGGAATCGGTGAGTTGTGGTCAGTTGACCTCATGGGTCCCTTTCTGGTGACGACTAGCGGAGATCAATATATCGTGATAATGACAGAGCACTTCTTGCGGTGGGTAGAGGCAGAAGGCGTGGTAAATCAACGGGTGGCGACGATCAGCGGAATGGTACTGCATCACCATGGGGTGCCAAAAATGATCCTAACCGATCAGGAGCCTTGCTTCGAGAGCGAAGAGTTTAGGAATTGCTTGCAGAAGCTGGGTATCAGACGGCTAAGGACGGCACCATACCTCCCGCCTAACCGAACAATCAAGGAGTGGCTGGTGGCCAAAGGAGGTGACTAGGAAGTGATCATGCCGATGGTGTTGTTAGCTCATCGTGCTTCCATACAGTCAACGACAGGCAATTCCCAGTTTATGCTGATGTACGGTCGACTTCCGCGCCTTCCGATCGACCAAGAAATTGGGTTGTGGCCGGCAACACGCTTGTCTCCGGAGGAGCTAGAGGAAGAAAGGAGAGCTCGAGAAAACTTTACAGCCGTTCAGGACAGGACTAGATAGAAAACGGCAAGTAGGAGGGTACGAACGTTCCCCATAGGTACAAAGGTCAAGTGGAAGGACCACCAGTATCCTGGAAGGAGGGAACTGGGGTCGCGGAAGCTAGGCAGCCGATGACTGGTCGTTTGTCGTTACCGACCGCCAGGGAAATGCCTATACTGTTCAAGACGGCCGGGAATCTACAAGATTAAGTGGGAATCAACTTCGTAAGTGGCATGATACACCCGAGGAGCAGCAGGGTAGACCCGCTGCCGAATCCGACCTGACCGAGGTAAATTAAACCTATGGCATGCGAACGAGCTTTAAGAGGTGGAAGTGTGTAACGGTGATACTGCTGATAGGGAGTCTAGCGCGTAGTATGTGTTGTTCGTGGAAAAGTTGCTTTGCGTCTTTTGGAAAGGGGAGATCTGTTGCGGAATTTGTGGAATCGCTTTGTAACATTTGCGTGGATTTGAGTGATGAATGATTGGAGTCAATGAATATCCAGGAAAGTTCAATAAGACGCGTTCAGGAGATGGATGTCCAGTTTCTGTAAATAAGATGCAAATGAGAGTCTTGTTTCCCTGTCCAACGGTCAGTTGGCATTTCCTGATAAATAACTCCGCAGCAAAGGACTTCTTCCTTTCACGAGTACTAGCGCTCAGTCGGACAAACCGGAAACCGACCGGTAGCACGAGTAGCACTGACATCGACTAGCCGTCATTTCTTGCAACGTCTCCAGCGAAGAAGTCGGGTGATGTAAAATGATTGCAGTCGG